AGACCCATACGGCACTTTAACGAGATGGTCCTGATCAACACTACCGTCTGTATGTGCTTTAAGTATACTAGGTTGCGATGAGAATGATAATTAAGCAATTGCCATTTCACACACATACCGATATGTGGAAGAACAGTCAAATGCAATCATATCGTGGGGGAGGGGGCCCCCAAGCAGCGTCAGAGAAGAATATCGCCACCATGTCCATCTATCTATTGGCATGCATTTGAAATGCTCTGCAGAGTGCTTTAACGCTTAGAATATTTCGGGTAGAGTTGGGATTAAATAGTGATATCCCTAATAGAAAGTTGTTAGCAAAAAAGAAAACCGACTTCAATTCTCATATAAAAAAAAAAAATAAATATATATATATATATATATGCGGTAACATGTATAAAAGATTTAAAAAATAATAAAAATAATTTGGAAGTCGGTTAAAAATTACTTTACGAATGTTTCAAACGTATACAAGTTGACGCCTCATCTAAGTACCCAGCATCCCCATTATTCCTAATTTATTTTCCTTTTCGGCACACATTCTGCATGATACTCTCAAATAATGTTCACCAACCATTCATTTCTGATTTAATGGGCCATTCAGCAAAATTTCTGCTACCTTTGCAATTTCTGCCCTACGAGCAAATTTTGCAAAACAATAATGTTTAGCATATGAAGAATCAATAATCTAATATTTTTATGAGTTTTTCGCATTTTTATTGCTGCTATTGTTTAATACAACATCTTTTGTCTCATCGGTTATACATATTTCTCTACGAATTTTGCCTCACAATGTACTTTATTACCCGAACAGTTGGATAATGAAATTTTTATTTACCTTCACATACATATATAGGACGGGCATTAACAGAGATTTGTAGAGCGTAATTTTTGTCCGTCGAAAGAGGACCCTGTTTTTCAGTTGCCTGCCGAGCACATTGTAGCACCCCAGTTATATATTATAGCCGTATAAATAAATCAGACAAACGATGGTACATTTTTTTGACTCTTCTATTCCAAACGTCTCCAATTTCACAAAAAAATTTAGGAAAATACATTGTGTAAAAGCACCACAGAGTCGAATGGTAAAAGCACACATATCTGCATACGAGGGGAGGCTGAAAATTTTTGAGCCTAAGTAACTTTAAATAACTTTAAGTGTCATTAATATCTTGTCCTGCGTGCCACTAATTGCTAATATCCTTAGTACTAAAAATACCGAATTTCATGTCATTAACATTATTAGGCTTTCAAAAATGGAGCCGTAAACATCGCCATGCGCGCGCTGTGTGACATTAGAGTGCGGAGCTGTCATCAAATTCCTCACAAAGAAAAACAAAACGCCAACGGAACGTTCATTTTCCAACACTAACAACAGCGAGTCGCTGGAAGATGATACCAGGTCAGGACGTCCAATTACTGCCGTTACCACGGTTTTTTGGTATTGTGAAGGTATTCTGTTCATCAAATATCTTCCTAAAAACTGCAATGAACGGATACTTTTATGCCACATTGTTGACAAAAGTGTATCAAGTGATTGTCGAGAAACGAAGAGGGCAAATGAGTCCTGGTTTTGCAAGACAATGCACCCGAGCACACTGAGCGAGCTGCAAGGCGTACCCTGGCTACCCTCCATGCATTCCAGACCTGGCGCCCAGCGATTACTTACTGTTAAACAGAATCTCCGAGGACGAACATTTTCGAGTGAGGATTGAAGGCGGCAGTAGACGAGATTTTCGAAGACAAATATGGTGAATATTTTGTCACTGGGTTAAAAGCCGTTTATGGTAAGTGTAAGAAGTGCATTGAAGTAGAGGGAGATTGTATAGAAAAATGAAATTTGTATGCCTACATTTCTATATTTCTATCAGCTGTTTTGAAACCTTAGGCTCAAAACTTTTCAGCCTCCCCTCGTATTTAGTAAACGCTGTTAGCAACCACCAAACACCGCAAAGTATTAACCCAATCGGTGCGCCAATGAACACAGCAGTGCCAAAGAAAATGAAGGAATTAAAATAATTGGTATGAGTGAGTATTTACATACATACATACAGTGACTCAAAAAATTACCTCATGTTGATTCTTTTTAAATATTCGTAATATTTTCCGAGTTAAACTTTTTCTGTTATTTTTCTATAAAAATGCCGTCCATGCTTTTAACCAAAACCATATTAATCACAGTTTCAAAATTTCAACAAATTTTCAAAAAAAATTTCAACTTTTTAGTCGGAGTATTAGGAACGTTTTTGGATATGCAGGTTTATAGCCCAAGTACAAGTTAGAGGTGGCAGATATTTGCGTACCTGTGACCTGGTCACGGTTACTCAAAAGTCTCGAGTACCTGCTGTGACAACTTACAAAAAAGTCACAGTGACAGACTGAGACAAAACAATAGTCGCAGTGATGTTTTTGTAGTAGGATTGCTACTAACTGTGACTGTGATAAAGTAGCAGTCGCAATTACATATCGAGAAACTGCGGCCAGTGATGTTAACCTTAAAGAAATTTTCTAATAGTGAAAGGTTATTTAAGACCAAAATGTGATTAATGTTGCTCGATATTAGAATTTCATACCATTAAAAACGTGTGTGAATGTCCAAAAAATGGCGAAATAGTCAGTGATGACAAATAAATGAATAATGCCCTTAATTCATGCGGTAAAAGATTTCTGTTTTGCAACTTTTTATACCCGAGCGCACTTGTGCACAAGGGTATTATAACTTTGTTCACATAACGGTTGTTTGTAACAGGCAAAACGAATCGAGATAGATATAGACAAATGTATACATAAATGATCAGAATGAAAAGAGAAATCGATTAAGCGGTGACTGTCTGTCCGTCCGTCCGTCCGTCCGTCCGTCCGTCCGTCCGTCCGTCCGTCCGTCTGTGCACACGATAACTCGAGTAAAAATTGAGATATCTTAACGAAACTTGGTACATGAACTTCTTTTGGGCGTGGGACGGATGGTATTGAAAATGGGCGAAATCGGATAATAACCACGCCTACCTCCCATATAACGGTAATTTTAAGAAATACGAAAACTGCGATATTTTAGTAACTACTTAAGATAATTCACTCAAAATTGATACTTACAATGAGTTTCAGACGGAAAACATGAATATTATAAATTTTTGGAAAATGGGCGTAGCCACGCCCACTTATGGTTACATGTGTATATCTTGGTAACCGCTGCACCAATTTCTTCCAAACTTGGCACAGTTGTTGGCCTTTGCACAGCATACCAAATGGCCGAAAATTTTAAAAATCGGACAATAACCACGCCTACCTCCCATATAACGGTAATTTTCAGAAAAACGAAAACTGCGATAGTTTAGTAACTACTGAAGATAATTCACTCAAAATTGATATTTGCAATGAGTTTTAGACGAAAAATAAGAATATTACAAAATTTTGGCAAATGGGCGTAGCCACGCCCACTTATGGTTACATGTGTATATCTTGGTAACCGCTACACCAATTTCTTCCAAACTTGGCACAGTTGTTGGTCCTGGTACAGCATACCAACTGGCCGAAAATTTCTAAAATCGGACAATAACCACGCCCACATCCCATATAACGGTAATTTCGAGAAATACAAAATCTTCGATAAATCAGTAAATATTGAAGCTAATTTATTCAAAATTGATGATTGCAACAATTCTTTACCAAGAAATACGTTTATGACAAAATTTTGGAAAGTGGGCGTAGCACCGCCCACTTGTGATCACATATATGTATCTCGCTAACCGTTCTAGCAATTTGTACCAAGCTCAGTATGGTTATTGTGCTTGCCACATAAAAGCAAACCTTTGCAAATTGTTGAAATCGGACTAAAATTGAGGCCGCTTTTCATATAACGGTAAATTTCAGATATGCTTGAAATTTCAATATTTCGAAATTTAAGGACGCTAATTTACTTAAAATGTATACACCCCGGTTTACCATGTAGCGGTAGCTTTCGGAAAGGTGGAAAACATATATTTAATACTTGCGCCGGGTATTTAATGTTCGGCTCCGCCCGAACTTAGACTTTCTTACTTGTTTGTACTGTTTTTGTCACAGTCACGGATGAAAATCACTGTGACTGCAAGGTCACAGTCACAAATAACGTTGTTCCTCAAATGTCACGAGATCGCCCATCTCTAGTACAAGTTTCAACTGGCTAAGAAATCGCGTTGATTTTTGAGAATTTTTTTTTGGAGACTGTTTCTGCGGCTTTTTTTCATATAACAATTGCAATTCACGAAAACGGGTTGATTTTTTGAAATTTTTTTTACGAACGGTCTCCCGCGTTTTATTTCATAAAAAATTCATGCTTATATGAAAAATAAAAATGCAAACATCCGGCAACAAACCAATTCTCAAAAATCTACGAGATTTTTAGCCGTTTGAAACTTGCACTTCATGACGCTAAAATTGTATGGGCTAAAAATGTCTATTGATTCACGTAAAAAAGTTGAAATTTTGATGAAAATTTATTTGAATTTTCTTAACATTTTTATAAAGTTTGAAACTGTATTTTATATAGTTTTGGTTAAAGCTCGGACATTGTTTCATAGAAAAATAACAACAAAAAATTTAACTTGAAAATATTACGAATATTTAAAAAAAAATCAAAACGTGGTCATTTGTTTGAGTCACTGTGCATATGTATTTACATGCGCAAGTGGGGGAAGAGAAAGTACAGGCATCACTGATTGCTTTCAATTATGCAATGAATAATCACGTAATTAAAGGAAGATCAGAGCTGAGATGGTGGTACGAGTATTAATGCATGCACAGGAGCTTGCGCGAAATTGACAGATGAGCAAGTGGGGGGAGGAAGTATCTGCATGGAAATGTAATTAAAAAGTTGTTAACTTAAAACGTTTACACAACTGACGACTGAGCCATTGGAGGCAGCTGAGTGGAGCATTGGAGCTGTGAAATAGTGGGACAGCAACAAAGGAGGAGTACAACAAAATATATGTATGTACATATGTAAATACGAGTTGACCACTTACCTGGTTAAATATTGAATTCCAAGCGCGTAGTTGAGCTGTCACACTGATAGTGGTATGTGCATAGTATTGTAAGCAGAGCCAATTTGTTGCAAGGAAAGTTTATAAACAATGAAGAGTAGAAACTAAGTAGACGCAGAACGACAATAAATTCCACATAAAAGATTTAGCGAATTGTGGCAGCGAAACTCGCGATTGGATTGGTTGTAGATTGAAACTAGCTTAGTGATTTTTGTGTGGTAGCTATGCCTTCGTAGCGTAAGAGTCACGTTATTAGCGGAGACAGGGCAATATATTGTATCTTTTTTTTTTGTATCAGAAAGTGCCGATGCACGTGCGTCGCAGGGACGCAACGATGCAAAACGGATTTATTAAACACTTGCTGCTGTAATTATTTATTTATAAACACTGATTTCACTTCACTTTTACCGCTGCACAGTCGAATTGTTGCTAATAAAGCAAAAGTGACTAATACAAAATCGATATCGCGTTGTATCGCAGAAATCACAATAAGACGGACAGCAAAAAGTACACGGAAACTATAGCTGATAGCACGTATACTTTAATTTTTATCTTTCTTTCTTCCGTAATTGTTAAGCAGAGAACTCGTATTTTTTTGCAAATTTTCAAGATTTTTTTTTAAATTTTTTTGTTAATAAATGTCACACTTTTCGCCGTTGCACGTTATTGATTTTCAGTTGAAATGAGTGCAGTTGGCGCAAAAAAAAATTCACGCACATCTGTTTGTATATATGTATATGTTAATAAGCGAAGTCACGCCGGATGACAGAGAAATGACGTTAAAATACAACACGGGCAAAGCAGCAGCTAATAAAATTCAAAAAAATAAATAAAAAATATGTACACAAAAAATAAATAACAAAACGGCACTCGAAACAAAGACGGAAAGCTTTGGAATTTACTGCTTCAACTAACTTCCGCTTTATTTACTTAATGTCTGCAAGCTTACTTATATATTTATCGCGGGCGTTTGTTGTTTTTTGCTGTTATTGAGCTACTGTTCTGCAAAAGGCCTTCGCTAAACGCTTTTGCTTACTGCAGCTTATTCTTATTTTGGTTTTTGTTTTTGGTTTTCCGCTTTCATTTGCTTTATTGCTTTAAACGATTGACAAATGACAAAAGTTTGCTGCCAAGAGAATTTTTACTTATTTTTGTTTGTTTATTTACTTTTCCAAACTTTTTGTCTTTGAACGCGGCGAATTTATTTTAATTTTATTTCTATTTTTTTCAAGCTCCTTAACAAGTGTTCGATTTCAATTCATCGAGACTCGATTACTTAATTTTCTTTTTTTTTTAACAGAAGTTTGTTTCCGGCAACGGCAGTCTGTTTCTTGTTTTACTTTCTTAGGCAGGTGTTGGTGTTGCGAATCTGTAAATAAAAATAAAAATAAATTATTTTTGTACATACAAATTTTTTTCAAGCTTACAGCTATTTAAATAAGCTGAGTTCAGATATGAGAGGTGTGGCAAGGAAATTGTATACGATATAAAGGAGGGTGTAAATATTTACGGAAATCCACAAAAAAATAAACACATTTTTTTGTGTTCAAATAAGGTCTGGTGCAATGACACTTAAACGTTCTTAAAATAAATAAAGTCGGGTGCAAAATAAAATTGCCTGCTCTTGATGACCGCAATTAAGCAGAGGTCACTGCTTCATTTGGCTCCGAACTACTCAGCCTTCCGTAAAATATTCTGTTTATATAAAACAGTCAAAAAAATGCGATGGAGGGGGCAAGTTGACATCTACTTCACTTGTCTTGTAAAGCAACGCGAACTCAGTGTTGGATTTGTCGTGTATGTAAGAGAGGCTTAGTCGTCGACTAGAGCCGTTAACACTCCGGCGGAGGAGAAGTAGGTGGCGTTCAAAGGTATTCTCTATGATCCCGATTTCAATGCCGAGGTGAGAGATCTTTGGTGCGAACATCAAAAAAAAATATAAAAACAAGTAAGGAAGTCTAAGTTCGGGCGGAGCCGAACATTAAATACCCGGCGCAAATATTAAATATATGATTTTCACCTTTCCGAAAGCTACCGCTACACGGTAAGCCCAGGTGTATCAATTTTGAGTAAATTAGCGTCCTTAAATTTCAAAATATTGACGTTTAAAGCATTTCTAAAATTTACCGTTACATGAAAAGCCATAATTTTAGTCCGATTTCAATAATTTTCATCGTTTTGCTTTTATGTAGCAAGCACAATAAAAATACCGAGTTTATTACAAATTGGTAGAACGTTTACCGAGATACATATATGTGATCATAAGTGGGCGGTGCCACGCCCATTTTTCAAAATTTTATTATAGACGTATTTCCTGGTAAGGAATTGTTGAAAGCATCAATTCTGAATAAATTGGCTTTAATATTTACTGATTTGTCGAAGATTTCGTATTTCTTCAAATTACCGTTATATGAGATGTGGGCGTGGTTATTGTCCGATTTTAAAACTTTTCGGAGATTTGGTATCCTGTACCAGGGCCAATAACTGTGCCAAGTTTGGAAAAAATCGGTGCAGCGGTTGCCAAGATATACACATGTAACCATAAGTGGGCGTGGCTACGCCCATTTTCCAAAAATTTATAACATTCTTATTTTTCGTCTAAAAATTATTGTAAATATCAATTTTGAGTTAATAATCTTCAGTAGTTACTAAAATATCGCAGTTTTCGTATTTCTGAAAATTACCGTTATATGGGAGGTAGGCGTGGTTATTGTCCGATTTTGCCCATTTTCAATACCATCCGTCCTACGCCCGAAAGAAGTACACGTACCAAGTTTCGTTAAGATATCTTAATTTTTACTCGAGTTATCGTGTGCACAGACGGACAGACGGACGGACGGACGGACGGACGGACAGACAGTCACTGCTTAATCGATTTCTCTTTTCATCCTGATCATTTATGTATACATTTGTCTATATCTATCTCGATTCGTTTTGCCTGTTACAAACAACCGTTATGTGAACAAAGTTATAATACCCTTGTGCACAAGTGCGCTCGGGTATAAAAACCAAAAAGGTTGTTTTCTAATAGCGGTCGCCCCTCGACAAGCAATGGCAAACCTCCCAGTGTATTTCTGCTATGAAAAACAGCTTTTCAGAAAAATACAATCGCCGTTCGGAGTCGGCGTAAGCACTAGCTGCTTCAAATGATTTAATCAAAACAATAAACATACTCGATTAAAGAGCAATAAATTTTCAGCGTAAAGTACTACGCAACGATTAATCACTTCCGCGTAATGAATTGCTATCATTTTCCTATCAAGTTTGATAAAACGCTTCGATATTCGCACATGTTGTATAAGTTGCGTTGTTTCCCGCTCATATTGCATATAAATAAAAAAATCTTTAATTTACCAATCGATTCTTCGAGAAAGACCCACCATAAGGATCGAATTAAAGGAAGTCATAATTCGCGGCGTAGTACTACCGTAATCAGGGATGGAATTTCAAATTTTCAAAATGTGCCTAATGGTCTTCAAAACTAGTGCCGAAAAGAAGATGAAAGTGCCACTAAATTAAAATTTCGTTCTTTTACGGCCTTTTAAGAACAATATATTTTTAAAAATAGTATTCTTAAAATACACTGAGGTAATATAATAATTATTAGTTAATTAAATTATTACAGTAAACTATGACATAAATTCATAGTATTCTAATTACGAAGGGGAAATACACCGAAATATAGCTACTCTGACGTGTTGACCTATATGCGAAATAATTTCTGTGAGACATTTTGACCAGTTTCAGTTTTTAATGATATTTTATAAAAGTCTAACTCACAAATTTAACAAACACTATATATGTACACAAATCGACATTTCAAACTTTGCACAAAACTTATAAAAAATCAGCAGGGTTTCGCAACAAAAAACTTTTAATTCAGAATTTTTAGAAAGATTCCAAGTTAACAATTTTACGCATTTTTTCCAATATAAAGTGTGTTTGAAAGTTTTGTAAATGGATGAAAACATACGACACCGTCAGCAAAAAAAAATATATATCAAAAATCAACGTGATTTTGCAGATACTTGCAATTTTATTTAATGGACTATAAAACTTCAAACTTAGAATCTTTCCAAAAACTCTCAATTAAAAGTTTGTTGCGAAAACTTACTTTTTGTGCTGCGTATATAGAATAACAATATTTCTTGCGGCCCTTATTTTAATTTTTTAGTGCTATTAATTTTCACTTTTTGTAATTTTTTAATCTATAATATAGTATGTGATTTTTTGTTACACATTTGCTTATTATGCTAAGTTTCTGTAATTTCTGATTGTGCGAAACAGGATAAAATGTGCCAAAAGTGCCTCTGAGAATGAAAGTGCCAAAAATGGCACTATTGTGCCTACTTTTCCATCACTGGCCATAATTATGTAGGAATTTCTTCGTCTACAGTGCAGTATTTTCATCTTCCAGCCAGAGTTCTTGGCATTGGGTTAGACAAAACTTTTTAGTTTTTCATTAGTTGAAAAATTGGCAAAAAATAGATTCCATTATCGGACTAGACTTAGAAGTTGCAGAATGAGTGAGAGTTTAAAAAAATTAAGAAAATCTTTACGGGTTTTTGGAAATCAATAGTTTATTGATGAGTTTCGCGGGAGCCCTAGCACTGCGCCGGTGCTGTTGGCCTCTTAGATGTTGCGGGAAAAATGTAGGAACACAAAATTTGGTGACGGGAGATAAGTTGCTGTGTCCGAGCTACACTTGCATATGTATATAAAAGCTCCGGTTTCCAAATTTGGCCACTTGCACCAAACGCAGTTAAAAAAAAAAATTAAATTCAATAGCAGCCCATCTATTTTTATACTTATATCTAAAATTTAGCTACTATTAATTACATTGATCGAGGGTTGCATTTTCATCGTATCGTAGATTAGTGGTAGGGTCATAATTGTAATAAAAATATAAGTTGTTTCAAGTTATAAAAAAAGTGTTGTGAAAATGAAAATTAGAACCGTGGGCCCAATCGGCCCATTTTTCGCAAACTTATGCACCTGCAATTAAAGTTTTGTTTTCAAAATTCGATATCTCAAAAACTGCTGCACAAAAAACAAGGAGGACCCCCTCAATTATGAAAGCTATCGGAGATACAAAACCCAAATTGTGTCTCATTTGGGCTGGAATGCCCCATATACTCTGCAACCTTTCTAACCTAGCGTGAAATTTAATTTAATTTGAAAAAAAGTTATCCAATAGGATCTACTTAATTTTACGCATTTATTATATTTATATACATATTATTATCTATATTTTTATGCATTTACCTATAAATTCTTTTTTGAGAAATTTCTGAAAACGTAAATATTTTTACTTTATGGATTCTGTAAAAATAAGCAGTTCTATGAATGTATGCATAACACCGATGACGTACGTATGTACATATATGTATATGTATTTAAACCTTTATAGCTGCCAGTGCTACGAATTACGCATGTGTAAGTTTACCTTGCTTACTAACTAGAATATTTCTATAAACTACATTGTATTTATCTAAAATTAATCTTTAGTCAAGTTTTATTTAAACTTCAATAATACCTAAAACCCTCTTTCCAGTTATTTTTAATGCCAATTCAAGTCATCGCGATTATCTACTTAAATTACATAGCTAAAAGTCATCTGCAAAAAAAAACACTCCCTTTCCGCGGTAGGGAACTTTAAAATTCGCAAACTCTCACATTTTCCACTTTTGATTTTCATGCTTCAATTAACGCAAAAGTTTTTCAGTGTAAGCCCATAGCGCGAAAAGACACATTGAATTCGTATCACATAAATTTTTTTTTTAACGGATGACTTAACAAACACATTGCAGAGTCAGCAAAGAGACTAAAATAAAATTGTTTTTTATTTTTATACCCGAGCGCACTTGTGCACAAGGGTATATTAATTTTGTTCACATAACGGTTGTTTGTAACAGCCAAAACGAATCGAGATAGATATAGACAAATGTATACATAAATGATCAGGATGAAAAAAGAAATCGATTAAGCCATGTCTGTCTGTCCGTCCGTCCGTCCGTCTGTCCGTCTGTCCGTCTGTCCGTCTGTCCGTCTGTCCGTGTACACGATAACTCGAGCGAAAATTGAGATATCTCAACGAAATTTGGTATGTAGGTTTCCCTTAATCCAAGGTAGGTTGGTATTGAAAATGGGCGAAATCGGACTTTAACCACGCCCACTTCCCATATAACGGTAATTTCCAGAAATACGAAAACTGCGATATTTTAGTAACTACTGAAGATAATTCACTCAAAATTGATATTTACAATAATTTTCAGACGAAAAATAAGAATATTATAAATTTTTGGAAAATGGGCGTAGCCACGCCCACTTATGGTTACATGTGTATATCTTGGTAACCGCTGCACCAAT